TCTTCCTAAAGCGCCAGTCTGACCATGTCACTCCTCACCCTACTCCCCACCTCCCATTAAATAAATTCTAGTGGCTCCCTGTGGCCTCCAGGATCAGATATAAAACATTCTGTTTGGCTTACAAAGACCTCATAACCTGGTCCCTTCCTACCCTTCCATCTTCTTACACTTCACATATATGTCCTCTCTAAATACTCTTCAAACCAGCCTCATCCGACCTCCTTTCTGTTCCTAGCCCAAGACACTCCATTTCAATCAATCAATCAATATTTAATAAGCACCTACTATGTGCCAGGCACTGTGTTAAGTGCTGGGAATACAAAAAGAGGTAAAAGACAGTCCCTGCCCTGAAGGAGTTCACAATCTAATGGGGGAAACAACCAACAAATTATATATGTATATACAAGCTATACACAGAATGGGAAATAATTAACAGAGGAAAGTCACTAGAACTAAGAGGAATTGGCCATCTTCTGATTCTGAGGGCTCCCCATGCCTGGAATTCTTTCTAACCTCATCTCTGCCTCCAGCCTTTCCTCACTTCCTTCTACTCTCAGCTAAAAGTCCCACCTTCTTCTACAAGATGGGATCAGCCTTTCCTGATCCCTCTTAATAAGAATACCTTCCCTGTATTGATTATCTCCAATTTATCCTGCTTATAGCTTGTTGGTACACAGTCATTTGTTTTTGCTTTTCTTTGTATCCCCAGAGCTCAGCCTGTTGCTTGGCACACAGTAGGAGCTTAACAAATGCTAGATGACTAAGAGGGTCAATTCATCCAACTCTCTTATTTTACTGATGAAGAAATCAAGGCTTAGTGACTTACCCGCAGTCATACAGATATACTAGAGTAACTAGCAGAACTGGGATTCAAACCAAGGTCCTCTGATGGTACTCCTACTGCACCATGCTCTCTACCCCGTTTCTCACTTAATGTCTAATGCAGTGCTCTACACACAAAATGCAGCTAATAAATGTTTATTAGGTGAGGCCTCTCTCCTTAAGCAATTGTGTAACCACACCATGAGACTATGTCCAAGGAAATGTTTAAGTAAAAATGCCAGGAGATATAGTAGGGACACAATAGGTTTCATGTAAGGCAAACTGAGCGTGCTCCAAAGGCCCTTCAGGGGTTTCCCTATGAGAACTGAGGATGCCCAGAGAAGGCTGAGATACATTTTGTATTTATTTTTCTGTATACTTGCTTCTCCCCAGTAAGATGTAAGCTCCTGGAAGGCAAGGACTGTTTCATTTTTGTCTCTGTATTACCAGTGAGTAGCAACATACCTTGCACACAACAGGTGCTTGACAAATGTTTGCTGAATTGAATTCAATGGCTATGTTATATGTGTAACTCAGCTTTGGCTTATACTCATATCACCAAAGACAGAAGCACCCAAGTCGGGGACAGCAGGGACTTGCTTCTGAGTGAAGTCAGCCTTCATTTCCTGACCATGTGGGGGGAGCAGCCTCTTTCCCAATGGCTACATAGTTGGGCTGCGTCTTTAGAAGTGCAATTTTGGGACAGTTTCTCTCTCTGTCTGTCTCTCTCACTGTCTGGCAGCATCCAAGGGTTAAAGGACCTGTTCCCTCATAGTATGAGAGCTCATGGTGAATGGCCTCAATTCTTTCAGTAAAATATGAGACAAAATTCTTAGCTGAGAGCGTTGAGGGAGAAGTTTAAGGAAAAAATAAAAGGCTTGGATGAGCCACTGTGGGGAGTGGGATAGTAAGTTAATTAGGGAGGTGTAGAGTGATCGCCTAGTATCAGTGAGGGCCCAGGTTCGAGGTTATCTAACATAAATGCGTTGTGGATCCGGTCAGAACAGTGGCATGATTTCCTTCACTTTGTTCAGCAAAGTATGAGAGTAAAGGCAGCAAGCAGAGCGTGAGAATGATCCGAGGATGAGGCTTGTCAGGGAACAATGAGCAACACGAAAAGGGGGGAAGGTTGTCAAAAGGACCGTGTAGAGTTGAACTCGTTCCCCAAGGAGCACAGATAAGAAAAAGAGGAGAGAGCGGCTAGTGCAAGGCTGATAGGTTGGGAGAGAATCCAGACATTTGGGATAGGGTCTGACCAAGAATGCAGGCTGTGTGCAGAACATGCCAAGACCCAGGGACTGAAAGAAGGCCAAGGCAAGAAGTGCTAAGACAGAAAGAGATCCCAGGGGATCCCTGAACACAGCGAGGACTGGGTGCCAACTGGCAGCTCTGTCCCTCACTACCCAGTTCTGGGTCACAGATCCAGGGCACACTGAGCAACAGACCTATCCTTAGGGGTGGTGGAGATAAGCGGTTTCCCATCTTAGCTGTGTACTGAGCAAAGAACAACAGCAGATGTGTAGTTCTGGTCACGGGAGCAGAGCAGAGACTCAGTACTAGCCTCCAGCCCAGGTATATATTCCAGCCTATAGTAAATAATGAGAGGCGAAATCTAGATCAAAGAGGAACCTAGAGTTCTGTCATTCAGAACCTGCAGAGTTTCCCAGCAGGCTAATAGTGGCTGAGTCCAACAGTCTACTGAAACTTCCAGTCAGGTATAAGCCCACAGAGGTTTTGTTCTGACTCAAACTTGGGTCAGGAACTTGCAGAGCTCAAACCAGAAAAGCAATGAATAGACTGCTCCAGATCATATCACTTTGTAAGCTCTAAATGTGAAGGACCCCAGCCTGATCATCCCCTGAGAACTGAAAAAACAAGACCCTCAGTACCCTAAGAAAACAGCAGAAGGGTACAACAGGAGAAAAGCTCAGCCCAAACATCCCCTGTAGAAGTACACAGAGTCTAACCCTAACATCAAGTCCAAAGTTAAGAACTAGGCTGGAAGAATGATCAAACACAAAAAGAATCCCACCATAAAGGGCTAGTACAATGACAGGGAAGCTTAGGTTACAAGCCTCGAAGAGAATAATTCAAAAATATTTGAGGTAAAATTTGAGGCAAAGCCTCAAAGAAAAATGAAGCTTTGATACAAACCAGAAGAGATTAAGCTAGAGTTTTTATAAAGGAGCTAAAAATTATTTTAAATATATGGGAAAAATGAGAGCTATGAAAGATTTAGGAAAATAATTAACAGTTTGGCATAAGAAGTCCAAAAACTAACTCCTTGAAGATTACAATGGACAAAATAGGGATTAATGACTCCATGAGATAACAAAGAATATTAAAACAAAGTCAAAAGACTGGAAAAAAAATAAAAGAAAATGTAAGGTATCTCATGGCAATAAAAAAAAAAGACTCAGAAAACAGATGAAGGATGCATTATGTAAGACTCACTGGACTACCTGAATGCTATAACTAAAAAAGAGTCTAGATAAAATACACCAAGAAATCACAAAAGAAAACTGCCCAGATCTCTTAGAAAAAAGTAAAAAGAATCTACCAGTCAGTCACTTCCTGAAAGAAATCCCAAAATGAAAACTTCCAGGAATATTACATCCAAAATCCAGAGTTCCCAAGCCAAAGAAAAAAATACTATAAACAGGCAAAAAAATAATTCAAGTACTAAGGATCCACAGTCTGGATCACATAAGTTTTTAGTAGCCACCAGCATAAAGAAGAGGAGAGCTTGGAATGTGATATTCTAAAAAGCAAAATATCTAGGTTTACAACCAAGAATAACTTACCCAGTAAAACTGAGTATAAGAAATTGATGACTTCCGAGAATTTCTGATGAAAAGACCAAAGCTGAATAGAAAATCTGACATACAAACACAGAAATCAAGTGAAACATAAAAAGGTAAGCATAAACAAGCAATTATAAGGGCTTAAACAAGGTTAACTTGTTTGCTTTCCAGAGTACATTCATGATGAAACATGAGTACCTTCAGATAGAAAGGTGATGGACTCAGAGTACAACTAAGGCATATGTTTGTTTTCTGGACACGGCTAATGTGAGGATTTGTTTTATTTGACTATACATTTTTGTAATGGTTTTTTTTTCTTGCTTTCTCAATGGTGGAAGGGAGGAGAGGTAGAAAGGAAAGAATTTGGAGCTGAAAGTAAAATTAAAAAAATTAAAATAACAGAAATTAAAAGTCTATGTTTTTTAAAAAAACATCAATTACAATAATTTTATATGCAAGTTTAATTGTTGTCCAAAGTCAAAGCCAATTTAGAACATAAATTAATGTATAACATCTTACAAAAAAAGATGACAGACAGTCATGACCAACATCATCTGATAAAGCAAAGAGAAGCAGAAGATGATAAAAAGTGTCTAAAAGAAAACTTGGCTAATGACCTAACTAAGCAAAACCGTATCAAGAGTATTTAAGGATAAAAAAAAGAAGGGAGGACAAGTAGAGGAAAAACGAAAAAGAAAATAAAGAGTTCTACTATAACCATCTGTTTTCATCATCAAGGACAGTGGAACCACTACATCATAGTTGTCCTATAGAAGAAGTAGAAATCAAAGATGGGGAAAAGAGCCTGATTAGATTAAGTATATACAGAAGAGATGCATGCCAGAGGAGACACAATTATGAAAGCATTAAGGAATTTATACACAAGGTATCTAAAGGTGGGGAAAGCACCAGAAATATAGACGCACACTCAGACATTATTAATAACAAAAAGGTGACTAAGAAACTACAAGTAAGTACTACCCTGCCTGCCTATTCTCTTATACCTATCCACCCGGACAAAAACTTTAACTATACACAAACTGAGAGGATCTTCAATGAGGGTATTAGGCTAGAACAAACAGGTTTTCACAAGGGATAGTCAACAATGGGCCACATCTTTACCATTTCACAATTGACTAAAAGATGTAGAGAATGTAAGATCTCATTGTGTTGATTGTTTGCTAACTGGGAAAACCTTTGATTTGGGAAAGTAAATAAATGCACTGCTTTAGAGGTTCTTTTCCAATAAAGCTAATTCATACATCAAAATCATTCAAGATTCCCTGAAAGATATAACAACTCAAATAACCCAGTTCAGTGAACTTCTGATCACAGACGTCGGAGGAGGCATAAAACACGGAGATGTATGCTCACCCAAAGTCTTCACACTGTGATGGAGAAGATTCAGTGCAGAGTCCAAGTTGAAGATGGATCCCCTGCGGATACCGAGGTCCTCCAGATGTCTCTGTTTGCAGGTAACGTTGTGCTAGTTGCATCAAGTCCCGGAACAGTGTAGAGCATCCAGGAAGACAGCCATAACCATTCAAAAGAGTTTGGCCTGAACAGCCAGAGAGAAAAGACCGAGCGGATGAAGACTATGTATGGCCCTGACTCTGCATTTGGATGGCAAGTTTATAGAGCTTGTCCATCTGTACATATATCTGGGACCAACAGTACAGATGGGCAGTGAGCTGGGCACAGAGTGGAACAGGAAGAGAAAAGGAGGCTGGATTGAATTTAGGAAATTGCAAAGTTCCTTTAATGACTTCAAGCTTCCCATGTAAAGAAAACGGCCCATTTTTTTAAATACCAGCATTGTGCCAGTGTTATGTAGCAGTGAGACACAGAATACAACAGTTTCCATATTAAAAATGGAAGGGCTTGTGATAGGTATGCAGAGACTGCAATATGTAAACAATGAAGAATTTAAAAGAACAGGATTAAAAGATGTAATCAAAGAAATGTTTGATGGGAAGACAGAATACGCTGGTCACATAGTGAAAGTGAGAAATGATAGGCTGACAGACAGAATTCTCCACAGGTACCTTTGCCATTTCAGGAGAAAGTGAAGAATTCCTTCAATATTCAGTGAATTTATAGGAGCATATAAGCAAGAGCCACATTGGACAGGCAATCACAAGTTGGCTGCAATCTGTATTGTGGATCAATTTGAGGATGATTCTTTTGTTACAGATATGGACATTTTAAAGGATTTTGATAAATAAATATCCATGTTTGTTACATTATTTTAATTGTCTCTGTAACACTCCCTCTGGGCTACTTCCCCAACTTAGACTTAACACTCCTGGCTTGGGAGCCCAGAGGGCAGCTGCTGCCTTAGGTTCTGGGGGTAGGTAACCTGTAGCTCAGGAGGCCCCACAGTGTGATACACAATTCACTCCTAGCAAAAACGTTTGCTAAGATAACATAGTAAAAAAAAAAACAGTAGCTATAAAACATTCTCCCCTTAAACCTGGGGTACACTTTCTAATAAATACAGTGTCCATGGAAAGTGTAGCATCAAATTTAAAAAGTATAATGGTTGTGAAACAGGATACTATGAGGCAAAGGCAACGCACAACTCCTGTTACTGTAGGTGCTGGAAGTCCATTCTGTCTTCAGAGAGTCCTTGTACAGTTCTCCTGGGGTGTAGCATCTTGGGTTTCCAGGGTCTACTCTTTTCCATAGCAGGCCTCCTTCTCTGCTGCCAAGGGTCCTATTCTTTGAAGCTGTTTCCTCCCTTGAGTGAATGCATTTCTACATCTGTGTTTCAACTGTTTCTTTAATTCTCTCAAACTAACTCTCCAATTGCTGGATTGGATCTCTTTCTGTCTCTCTCTCTCACCTGCATCTGCTGCTGGAAGTTATGGTTAATGGAGGAGAGGGAAGACCCTTCCCACTTCACCCTCTAAGAGATCTCCTGAATCTAAATTTTCCCCAAACCAAAACTCAGCTCCTGCGGTTTAGTTTTTTTAAGGTCTTGCTAGTGCAGTAAAGTTGCTTCCTTCAATTCACTCAGAGAAAGGGGCAGTCTGTGCAGTCATGAAAGTAGGGGATGGAATGTTACGTTCAGGGAACCACAAATAAGTCATTTTGTCTATAATGTAGAATTCATCAAGGGGGCCATGTGGAATAGGTGTAGGTAAGCTGAAGACTGATTTCAAAGGGCTTTAAACACTAAATAACAAGTACAACACTGCAGATTCTTGATGAGGGGAGGGGCACAGACAGACTCACGCTTTAGCAATATTATTTAGGCAGTTCTGTGGTGGATGGACTGAAAGAGCGATGAGAATGGAAATGGGAATCCAATTAGGAGGCTGATACAATGGTCCAGATCTAAGAAGATGGATAGTGCTTTTGTGAGTAAAAAGGAGAAGGCTTTGAGAGTGTAAAACTACATAAAATTGATGAGTATAGATAAGATGTGGACCTTGCCCTTGAAGAACTTTTGAGATGTTTTCCCTCCTTTTTCCCTCCCTCAGTTCAAGTCTGACTCATCCTGTAAAGCCTAATTCAAGACCCTCACATATTACTTTATTATTAACCAATATAGCACTTTATTATGATGATGATATAATATTGCAACATGTGATTTGGTGTTTCCTGGAGAACAAAAATCTATACTTTGTATTTTCTTTAGTGTTAAGAGTAGAGGTTCTTAACCTGGATTCTGTAAACTGTTTTAATATGTATTTTGATCATTGTATTTCAATATAATTTATTTCCTTTGTGAGCCTATGTGTTTTATTTCATGTACTTAGAAACATTATTCTGAGAAGGGATCCACAGATTTCATCAGATTGCCAAAGTAGTCTATTATATAAAAAAGGTAAAGAACTTCTGGCCTAAAGTAATACTTTGCAGACTAGAAGCTGGTGTTTGATAAATGTATTTTTGTTTGTACTTAGACTTTAGGAATAAGAAACAAGGTAAGCGAACGCATGGAGAGGGAAAGCACAAGGTGTTTGTTGGGTTGTTGTGGTGGTGATGGTGTTGGATTTGGGGCCCGGGCAGAAGTGGGGTTTTGAAAGAGAAAGTAATTAGGAGCATATTGTAGAAGGCATGGTTTCCAAGCTCCTTATTTTGACTCTCTATGGCTGTCTATCTTTTCCCTATTTCTTTTCCTTTCCCTCCACCACATCTTTGAACTGGCCGAAATATGGAAAGTATGTTTTAAAATAACTTGAATCTGGTAAAAAACAAACAAAAAAAAGCTTAATATACCCTTTTGGGTGAATTAGACCCTTTATCCTTATCACAACCTCTTTTAAAAAGAAGTCCTAACCAAATTAAGTTGGTTTTTACTTGTGTGTACTCAATAGATTTTATTTTCCATGTATGGGCTCCTGGTAAGAAAAGTCTCTTTGCCCCAAAAGGGGCAGTCTTTAGTCCATGTCCCATATATGAAGTTAAAACTATGAAAATCTATGAAGTTGGTTGTTTTTTGTTTTGTATTGTCACTCACTCTTTACAAATTGTGACAGAACCTTCCAATCCAATCTGGCCTTACTTGTCATTAAAGAACGCAACCTAAAACAAATGGGTTAGAAGCCCAATAGGGGAGGAACATTATCATTTTAAGACTTTTGACTTGTGACCAAAATAGTATGCAATAATGCTTAACACATACCTAGAAATTTTAAAGCAGTGGGCTGCTGTAAGGATCCAGTTTTCTTTAATTATGGATCCACCACACAAATGAACGGATTTGTTGAAAGCTTTTACAAACTGCAGGCTAACTATCCATGGCCATGCTCCAATACGAGCATCGTGACCACCTATAATTCGAGACCCTGAAATCACATCCACCAGTGGTACTGTCCCACAATCTATACAAACAGAAATGATACATTATTTTTAACTGGAGACATGAAGCATCAGCTGATTATCTATCCGTCTTCTATTCCTAAATTATTCACACTCTACCCCCTCCTTTGCATTGATGCAATACATTTTTTTGAAACTGAAAAGACAAGCTGAACCTACCATGCATTTGCAAATATTCTGAAATGCCACTTTTCAACTCGGATACTACTTAATCTTAATTTTAAAGGACACCATTACGTTAATAAAGTACAACACAAATGGTCTGGCGCAAGACTATGAAATTGTTTAAGCGGGGCTGGCCAATGGCGTCCCATCCTTGGCGCATGCGCAGATGGAGCGCCCTCAGCCGAGCCTCCTGAGCCTGCGATCCCAGAGGCGCCAATAGGTGGTTTCAAGCTGCCCCGGTGCCGCCCTAGCCCATCACTCTTCAGTGGTGTGACCACCGTTTCCCCCCTGCCCGGTGACGCCCTTCAAAGCTGGACACCAGCCGTGGTCGCCGGGGAGGGGCCGCGCCCTCACTCCTTCCCAGACCAGGCCAGACCCACTCTCCCCGGAGACCGGCTCGAAGCGCGGGCGGGGCCGCTTACTCTTCTCCCTTAACAAGAGCGACCGCTGCCTGGTGGCGTACGCGAAGCTGCCCGATAATAACCACAAGGTGGCCCTCACAAACCAAGGCCCCATTTTTTTTTTGTGGGGAGGAGAGAAAAAAAAAACCGGTGAGGATGGGAGGGGGGCTGTCGCGCGGCCGGTTACGTCACGCGCGGCGGTTGGCGCGCGCCGGGGCAGAGGGGCGGGGCCGTCTGTATTTCCCACACACCCCTCCCCAACCTAAACCAAACTCCACCTGAGGGGTGCTTTACAAAGTGGTGGAGACAAAGTTAAGTATAGGGAGGCACAAGGCCCGTGCACACGTACCCATATGACCAAGAGTCGCACACACGCACAGAGGCTTTTTTTGTCATGCTTTTTTTGGTGGGGTGGGGAGGGGGAGAAAAGGAGGATCTTCATAAAATTGACATTTTAAAAAAATGACTCTGGCCCAGATCCTAATCATGCATCTCATCCATGAATCCTCAGTTATCTCTTGAAATGGAGCTTAATTATAACTTGGAATCTGAGACTCCATCTTGGTTTTAAGCTATCATGGGATTGCTGTGTTTTGGTGGGAAAGGAAAAAAAAGGTTTATTATTATCTAGGGGTGGGTGGGGAGAAAACTCCCTATACCTGGTATCCTTTTTAAGTGTTTCTTAGCTATACTTAAATCATAAGCATTAGAGGTTCTTAACCTCCTTTGCATCCTGGTCTGCACCACTTCTCTGCTTTTGGCAGTCTTGGTGAAACCCATGAAATCTTTGTGTGTGTGTGTGAGAGAGAGAGGCAATTGGGGTTAAGTGACTTGCCCAGAGTCACACAGCTAGTGTCAAGTGTTTGGTCTGAGGCTGGATTTGAACCCAGGTTCTCCTGACTTTGCGCCACCTAGCTGCCTTCAGGTGGGCTATCTTAAACTGAGGATACAGTGATTTAGGTCTCTTAATCTTGGACCAAGACACATCAATTTCCATATCACCTGTCAAGACAATAGGGAAGAATTAACATTTTCCCAGACCTGTCTGGGAAACACAATGGTCAGGAATCCACCAATGTAGATTAGATCTTAAATTCCTTGAGCTGTAAACTGAACTTTGGCTATTGATCACATCCAGAGCTTCCCATAATCTTTCTACATATAAGGTCCATCTTGCACCCCTCCCCTCACTAAATTGCTCAGATTCCTTAAGCCTCTGGCCCGGTTGTCAATACAAGCGTCACAAATGCTCAGATTCTTAAATTCTTGCCCACCTTAGTCTGTGTTTTAATAAACCTTGTCTATGACTGAAAGAAAGCTTGAGTAAAATTCATTCGAGGCAGGACTTGAATTTTGAGGTTCCTAGCACCCTAGACTGTAACATTGTACATAGTTGTTTGCATATTGTCCTTCCCCACCCCTCTTAGAGTGTGAGTTCCTTGAGAGTAGAGACTATTTTTTCCCCAACCTTTCTTTGTTGTTGTTTGTCCTTAACCTTGGCATCAAGTAGCTCTAGAACCAAGGACCATGCTAGGTGCCAGAGATACAAATTGTTTGCAAAAGTAGGAAAAGAAGGGATTGCACCTTTGTGACCAAAATACTATACCCCCTTCTCCTTACCCCTTTCTGAGACTGTAACCATAATCAAATAAACTCAACAGTTGTTCTTGGAAAGTCTGTCATTGAATTTCCCTATGGTTTAATTCACAGAGGCTTTAGATCACTGATAAAGCAAAGATAGCCTTTACTGCTATACTTGGCATAATGTAAAAAAAAATGCTAATTCTAGCAATAAGACAAGAAAAAGAAACTGAGGGAATGTAAGGGACAAGGTATCATGCTCCCACAATTTAAGATAACCTTTGACATTTTACAACGTCAGCAAGGAAGTTGGTCATAACAAGTTACATTGTTTAACAAGCTTGTAAAACCTTGCAAAAACAGGAAAACAGGGGAAAGGGTTAGCCAATGAGGAGGGCCCTAATCTTTTAATAGACCCCAAAGTTCTAGAGGGCAGAACCGGTTTTAACCAGCCCTAAGTAGGACAAAGGACAGGGGCTTTTGGAACTTAATTAGCTGATATAATATTAACTGACACACCCCACATGGAATTAGAGCCTCATCAACTGATCGTATGGGTCCTATGACAAGAGATTGGGGGATATGTAACATTGTAACCCAGAAAGGAACCACCTGTCGGCTCACTCTCTTCCGAGAGGTGTACCCTGTTCTCTTGCAAGAACAGTAATAAACAATTCTTCACTCACTCCTAGCTTAGTTTCGTTTTTTAACAAGAAGGCTTGATTTCTCAGAGTCATACAATGGAGAGGCAATTGGTTACAGCAGCTCGCCAAGGCTTAAGCCTCCACTCTGCTCTCAGGGTCTCTAAGGCCTCATTTCTAACAGGGAATAAATAGAGAGGAAACAAAATTATCCATTTTTGCAAATATTATGGTGAAAACTAGAAAGCAAACAGAAAAGTTATTTGAAACAATAACTTTAGCAAAGTAGAAGAATATAAAACAGACCTTTCAATTTCTTCCTGCTGAGTTTTATTGGTATGATTTGTATAGTAACAACAGAATGCATAAAATATTCAGAAGTCCACCTACCAAGGCACACACAGGAATTCTATGAATCCAACTACAAAACACTTCACAGAAATAAAGAGAGACCTAAATAATTGGAGAGATATCAATTGTTCATGGTTAGACCATGCCAATATAATAGAAATGAAAATACTAATTAGGTTACTTATTTAGTCCCAAGCATGTAAAACTACCCATGGCTTACTTTGAGAGCTAGAAAAAAAAAATTGTTAACAAAATTCATCTTGAAGAATAAAATGTCAAGAGTCTTAATCGAAATAGTCAGGGCAGGGGTGGTAGTGGGTAATGAGAGAGATGAAAGCCTAGCAGTACTAGATCACCTGTGAGAGTCAGGTAAAGGTTAAATTTCCACAGAGAAAGAGAATAATGCAGAGATTTAAAGAACAAAGGTCCCAGGAAGTGGTACACTGTAGGTGGGCTGGGCTTGACCAATAGGAAGTAAGTGGATTGTTCCAAGAAGACCCCAAAATCAAGATAAGGGTCAAGCCAGCTCAGACCAGTTGGGGAAGTGGTACACTGTAGGTGGGCTGGGCTTGACCAATAGGAAGTAAGTGGATTGTTCCAAGAAGACCCCAAAATCAAGATAAGGGTCAAGCCAGCTCAGACCAGTTGGGGTCAACCTGAGGACACCTGAAAAGTGCTAGTGCGCCTGCTTAATGAGCTTCATTACTATTATCTGACACACCCTGCATAAAATTGGAGCCTCATTAACGAGTCACGGGATGTATGACCAGGGGAGGGGGAACATACTTGAGCATGTCAAGGGGAAACATGTTAGGAGGGGTGTGGCCTGGGAAGGGATGGACCAATCCTGGCCTGGGAGGTTTCCGGCTGAATTCAACTGCATAAAAGCACACTTGCCCTTACACTCAGGGCCCACCCCTCCTGAAGAGGGGTGAAGCCAGCTTCTGGCCAGAAACGTCTAAATCCTCTGGACTTTCTTTATAATAAATTTTCTTGATACTAAATTTTTGGTGTCAAGTCTATTTCTAACATCACCGAAGTTATTAACAAAGCAGTAACTGTCAAAACGATTTGGTTTGGTTAAAAACAAAAGTTGATCAGTGCAATGCAAAAGCAAATGAACATAGTAGCTTGGTGTTGAAAAACCCCAATGATCCCAACTACTGGCATAAGGACTCTATTCAACACTAAGCAAATGTGTCCGCTATGAAAAAAAAATAAGAATAAAAAACAAAAATGACATGAACAACAAACAGCTTGAGTCCAGCACTATTCTCAGTCTATGAAAGCAAGGAAGAATGGAATCCCAGGTATCAGTGAAATGGGCTGTGAGCTAAAAAGATTGGGGAGGTGGAATCTAATATGAATTCTACTACTGACTGACTGTGTGAACTTGCCAAATTGAATAGAACCTGTGCCTCAACTGCCTCATACACAAAATGAGACAGTGCTCCTAATTACCTGGGTTTTCATATGAATTACATTTTTTCAATTTGGAAAAATTTAAATGCTTATGAATCTGGAATCAGTCTTCTTTACAAGAACAAAACAAAAATGCCAACTTCCTCAACAATCAACTACTACGATAATATACTTCAAAGATTTGGCTCAAAAGTAAAGTGGTTAATGGGAGGAGATCAATGAAAGTTAATCATTCCCAAGATTCACTGGAAACATACCTGGCTGAGCACAAAAAAGTCACCACTGGTAGAAAGAAAAGTATTCAGAGAAGTAGGGCTCACATCATATAAATGTAAGCCTCTTTCAATTTTTTATTTGTCCCTTCTCATTTTAAAAGTTGATAAATATGAAATCACCGTGTTGTATATGACCCTGGGTTAGAGTGGAGAAAGTGGGTAAGAGTATGGAAACATGAAAGGCAGAGAAGGAAAAAAGGAGAGGGAGACCTAGAGATTCCTTAAGCAGGGATCGATCAATCAGTCAATAATCAGTACTTACCACATAGTCTGTGCTCAAAACATGTTAGTTAACTGACTGATCCTATAATCCTAACCTTAGGAGTTTCTATTTTATGCTTAGAGGCAACAGAAAGTCATTGAAGATTTTGTTAAATGGAGAGAGGTAATCAGATTTGACCTGTATTTTAGGAAGATTATTTTGGCAGATGTGTGCAGGAAATATTGGAGTGGGAGACTGGAAGCAGGGAGTCAAATTAGGAGATAAATATAAGAATTCAAGTGAGAAGTAATAAGAGGCTGACCTAGAATGTTAGTTGGAGAGACGGGGATAGATGCAAGAGAGATTGTGGAGGTAGAATTGCTAGGACTCAGCATTTAATTGTTGGGAGAAAAAAAAAAGGAAAGAGTCTAGGATTATTTCAAGATTACATGAGTAGTTGGAAAGATAGAAGTCCCTCAACAAAAATGGGTGTTTGGAAAAGGGATAGGTTTTAGAGATAATAAGCAACAACAAATATTTATTAAAAACCTACTCTGTACGGAATACTGTGCTAAGCAGTAGAGGAAACAAAGTTTAAATGAGAAAGCCGCTGCTCTCAAGGGGTTTAAAATCTAATTGGAGGCTACTTTACAGATATCCATGACACATAAAATTATGTAAGTGGATTAGAGAGCTATGAAACAAAAGGTTGCTATGTGAAGTGTGAGTGAAGGTCATTACCAAATTGGGGTGTTAATGAAGGTTATTTAAGTGTAATACCCAGAGAAACCCCCTGTCCCTTGTGGGAACCTGAGAAAAACCTCTTCCAGGTTCAAGGAATTTTGTGGGACCACATCCACTCAAAACCATACTCTGACCAAGATGTTACTTTTACTAGTTAGTCAAGGAAGGCAGCAATATACCTGGATACATTTTCCCCCAAATACATTCACTATCAGTGAGAAGAGTAGACATGCATAAGAATCACACACAAGGAAATTCCAGGTCATATGAGCAATAAGATGGAGGAATAAACATTTCTTTGATCCCCACAATCTCTCCAATCTCTCCAAAACAAAAATTATGTGTGAAGACAAAGTAACTTCAGCTGTCTCCATAGTCTTAGGAAACCCAGACTCTAAAAGAAGGTAAAACAGACCATGAACTGGTGCTCACTGACCCTGAGTTCACTCACCCTTACCTCCTATACTACCAGCAGTGGGGCCGTACTAGCAGACCCAAGGAAGCGACACACAAGTTGGGACTTGTAACAAAACTCAACCTCACACCCTAGTCTCACCTCCCTCTTTCCAGTGCCATAGAGATCCCAGATCCTGGCTATGGAAGTTTGCTTGGGCAACAACAGCAAGTACAACAGTCCTTCAGAAGCAAAAGCTCTCTGTGGACCACAACCCTATAGTATCAATGCAGCAAAGCTCTGAACTGCCAATGCTGGGCCAGAGAACTGAGGAGCAAAGGCAGCAGGACAAGACGACAAGACAGGACAATATGTGTGGGGGACAGATGTGCAGAATTCCTCTAAGCCTGAAAGAAAGGGTACAACATCCAGCTGGGGTCAGTTCTGACCATTCAAAAGTCATTTGGGGCAAAGACCTAAGCCGGTGAACTGTGAATTGTCCAATGTAAGAGTGGGCTGAGAAACTTAGAAATCCAGCCCCAGAGGAAACCACCATCAGAGACAGAAGGTGAATAGAGGAAAATCAATGGGGGAGGGTAGGGGAGGCCGTGAGGGAGGGAATGAAATTGCCAAAGATCTCAGGAATAAGAAAATTCAAAGACCTTGAATTGACAGAAAGAAATCAACAGAAAAAACTGTAACAACAGAAGGAAATATGGCCTCCAGATCTAGTGAATGAGATGAGGCATCTGTGAATAGAAACCGCAAGATAAATAAAATGACCCAACTTTTTATGAGACAAGAGGACTTTGCGGAATATGAGACATGGAACCACAACAAGATGTTCCTGAGTGGTTCAAAAGAGAAATTAGAATTATGAGAGCAGAATTTATGTCCTGAGCAACAAAAATAATGGGCAGAATAGAAAAACTGGCAGCTAAGTAGAGCAGTGGTTAGAACACAGGCTCTGGAGTCAAGAGAACCTAAGTTCAAATCCTACCTCAGACACTTACTAGCTGTGTGACCCTAGGCAAGCCACTTAACCCCAATTGCCTCAAAAAACAGACAAACAAACACTCCAGTATCTGGGGGCAGCTAGGTGGCGCAGTAGATAGAGCACAGGCCCTGGAGTCAGGAGGTCCTGAGTTCAAATGCAGCCTCAGACACTTGGCACTTACTAGCTGTGTGACCCTGGGCAAGTCACTTAACTCTGATTTCCTCACCAAAAATAAACAAAAAAGAATAGAAAAACTGGAATATTGAATGGAAAATCTCACCAAAGAAACAAAAGAGATAATAGATAAGGAATGCAAATGTACAGAAGTGAAAAACAATCTAGGAGAAGCAAAAAACAATAACATTAAAAGAAAATATGCTCAGTATGCAAGCATAATGATCTCAAAGACAAGATGCAGAGAGACAACCCAAGGATTATAGGTTTCCCGGGACAAGAAAACAAAAATAAACCTTAACACTATAATGTAGGAAACAATAGAAGAGAATTGTTCAAAACTTCTGAACGTAGAAAATGAAATAGCATTTGAAAAAATTCATAGATTACCTCTAGAAAAAAGCCTAAAGCTGCAAACTCCAAGACACATACTGGTTGATTTTAACAATTAATTTCAGAAATAAGTCCTGCAAATGGCTAGGAGAAAGCCTTTCAAATACAAAGAAAAAGAAATTAGACTACTGCAAGACTATTTTGCACCCACCAGAAAACATGGGAGGAAATAGAAAAATATGTTCTGAAGAGTAATAAATAGAGCTCAGGATGTAGCCCAGGGGTGACTTACCTTACAAATCTGAACTTAATTATGCATGAAAGAAGATGGATATTCAATAATAAAGAAGCAATTGAAACATTTTTAGGAAGAAAAAAAAACAACGGAAGAGATTGGTTGCTTCTTGAACACCCCAAATGACAGAAATTGAGGAGGAGTGAATAAATGCAGCTGCCAAGGACAATAACATCAAAATAGTGACAACAGAAACCAGTAAAAGACTTCATAAATGTATACAAGGAGTCAGGAGTGAAGGCAGCATTCCTGTGGAGGTAACAGTGAAGAAGTGAACTTTATGGACAAAACCTGGTGAGACCCTGCCTACAGACCAATCAGTGGTTTTTGTGACACTACATTAGAACATGAGAGGGTACATGAAATGGGGAAAAGGGAGCAGGAAGGTAGAGTGGAAAGTGTGATGTGCCAGGGTCAAATCCAGCTAGCAATGAGGGGAAAGTGACTCCTTTGTTCTCAGAGAGGAGCCTTCAGGGAGTGAGTGAGGAGGAGAGAAGGACTGAAAAAGGGGGAAAGGAAAGAGGCTTTGCTTTGGTGGTGGGAAGGGGTTCTCCTGATGAATGCTACGTGGGTAAAGAAAGAGAGGGTCTGTAGAGGGAAGATGTGGACCTAGGAGATTTGAAGCTTTTGAAAAGTCTGCTTGTCTTACCTCAGGAGGTGGGGAGTTGGAACTCTAGGGGTACACAACTGAGAGAGTAGGACAGTGTGGACCAGGGAAAAGATTTTGAGGCAAATGAGGAAAAAAAGGTAACCAGGAGAGGGTAACACATTAGAAGTGGGCTGGGGGGCAGCTAGGTGGTGTAGTGGATAGAGCACCAGCCCTGGATTCAGGAGGACCTGAGTTCAAATCTGGCCTCAGACACATAACACTTACTAGCTGTGTGACCCTGGGCAAGTCACTTAACCTCATTGCCTAGCCAAAAAAAAAAAAAAGAAGTGGGCTGCATAAATCAGGGATATGGTGAGGGAGGGACCCTATCATGGGCCCCTCTCAACACCTCTCTGCTACCTGCAATAATTAGCACTGTTCTGGGAGTGACACACAGTGGAAAAGAGGAATCCATATCATTGGGGGGGGCAGTCATTTTGTCCACTTTTTCCACCATGTCCATGCCCTTTGAACCAGAGACTCCATTACTGGGCTTATACCCCAAAGAAGCCATTGATAAGAAGAAAGTCCCCATATACAAAAAAAAAAAATTATAGTGGTGCTTTTTGTGATAGCTAAGAAATTCTAACAAAGTAGATACCCATCAAACAAACTGTGTTATATGGAATGTAATGGAATATTACTGTACTGCAAGAAATGATGTATGTGATGAATTCAGAGAAGCATAGAAAGAACTATATGAACTAACAGAGAATGAAGGAAGCAGAGACAAAGAAATAGTATAGTAACTACAATAATGTAAATCAAAAGCAAATGTAACAAAATTATAAAGATTAAGCAGGACTCAATTGAAGAGATGTTCCAAACAAGATATTCCATCTTCAGAATCTGGGCATTTTCACTGGCTAGCTCCCAGCCTCACTTGCTTTCCTTCCTCATCTCTCCCTCCTGGCTTCCCTGGCTTTCTTCAAATCCCAGCTAAAATCCCATCTTCCACATGAAGTTCTCTTTCTCAACCCTTTGTGAAGGTGAGAGGTCCATAGGTGTTACGTATTTCACATGTTTTCAGACTTCTTCAATGTATTGACCAATTGTGATGATTTTTTTTTCCTATCTCAAAAATGGTTTGTTATGTGGAATGGCTCTGGGGGAGGGAGAGGGAAAGGACACTTGGGATAATGAAGATGATGCAAGAAACAGAGAACATCAATAAAAACTTATTTTAAAAAAAGAGAATCACACATGCTAGGTACAAAGGTAGAAAACACATGTGGCCAGGGCACACACTTTGGGACTGTTTGTATTCTTAAAAAAAGGGCCTGACATTGAATTGAGTTTCCACAACAATGAAAATGAGAGAAATGCTTGCTGATTGATTGAGGCAGATTATTATTTGTATTTTGATAATTAGTACCCTGAACAGTATGCAGGATCCCAGGAGGAGTCTTGGAGCCCCGTAAATGCTTTGGGTAGGTTTAAAGACCCACCAAACCTAAGAGGCTACAGGCATACTCTTCTACTGAAGGGATTCAGCTCAGGTCTCTCATGGACAGGGTTCATCATGGGTGAGCCTGACCAAGAAAGATCTTCAAACATTCTCTGGCTCATTACATCACTACCCTGGAACTGCAGGGAGAACTTAAAACATATTACAAGAAAGGTGTATGATCAGAAAAGGAAAGATTGGTAGATCATGTAGTAAGAATGAGAGATAGCCAAGGGACAGGTCCCATGCCCTTCTGGGATCAATACAACGTCAGTATGTCTAGAGGAAGACCCTAAGGATGTTGGATGGCCCCTTCTGAAGGATTTATGGAAGGACATAGACAAAAGTGTCATCCTCAATTCCTCAAGCTCTCTCACTCCTTATATCCAATCAAGTGCCACGTCAAGTCATCTCTATCTTCGTATCTCCCATATGCTTCCTTCCTTCCTTCTGACACTGCCACCACCTTGGTTCAGCCCTCATGCCTGGACTATTACTATAAGTAATATTGAAATAGTTGGTGTCCGTGCCGCAAGTATCTCCCCACGCCAGTCCATCCTCCACTCGCTGTCAAAATGATCTTCCTAAAACTTAGATCTGACTATGTTACCACCACAATTAGCCCCTACTTAATAAACTCCGGGGACTTCCTTTAATTTTCAGAAACAAATGTAAAATCTTGTTTGGCATTCAAAACCTTTCATTATCTGATTTCCCCCTCCTTTCCAATCTTCTTACACTTTACCCCCAACTCATCCCTTCCTACTCTGTGGTTCAATGACCTCGTCTCCTTGACGTCCCAAACAAAATATTCCATCTTCAGAATCTGGGCATTTTCACTGGCTAGCTCCCATGCCTCATTTGATTTCCTTCCTCATCTCCCCCTCTTGGCTTCCCTGGCTTTCTTCAAATCCCAGCTAAAATCCCACCTTCCACATGAAGTTCTCTTTCTCAATCCAATTTTCATTTTATTAATTAAATACTCTTTATTTCCATTGTTTGTTTAGTTGTCCGCATGTTGTCTTCCCCATCATAGTCTAGTGAGTTCCTGCAGAGCAGATAGTTTTTTGTCTGTCTTTGTTTTCCCAGTGCTTAGCACAGTGACTGACACACAGTGCCTGGCACACAGTAGTCACTTAATAAATGTTTGCCCGACGGAGGATGGAAAGGATTTTTTGAATTACTATCTGCACCAATGGAGGCAGTTTCTATATTCAGTGCATTACAGAGTGCCCAAATATCGCTGGTGTCTAACCCAGTAGTGCAAGCACTTCAGAAATGTCAATTGAATTGGGAAATAGTGTTTGAAAAGAGACGGGAACAGGAAAGAGAAATAGAGAGACAAGAGGAACAGATGGTACAGTCTTGAGATAATTGCTACTCTGTAGTGAACATTAGGTAATGCTGGGTTTGGAGTTAGAGAATCTGGACTTAGATCTCAGATCCTTCCTTACTACCTGTGTGATCTTGGGTAAATCACTTAACCTATTCCTTCAGCTGTAAAATGAAGGGGTTGGACTATACAATTTATATATTCCTTTCCACTTTAATCCCTATGATCCTGAGTTAGAAGAACTTTAAAGTCTCTTCTAACTCTAAAATTCCATAATTCCTTTTTTCCAAGGAACATAAAGACACTACTTCCATTATGTTTTTAGCCCATAGTGGCAATGGCTAGGTGCTGTAATTACCACTTTAAAAAAATAGGAGGCGGGGCAACTAGATGGCACAGTAGATAGAGCACTGGCTCTGGAGTTCTCACCTCCAGACTTTTAGGATAATAGGCTAGAAAAATCAACCTCTTTTGCCCCCTTTGGTCAAGGTGTCACCCTAGCACTGAACAGAACTCTCTCGGTCAGTTCTTAGAAAGGTTGCATATTCTTCAATACTCAAGTATATTTGTGATCACACTGATTATTCCCTGAAATAATGTAGATTACAATCCACCTATGTCTGCCCAGCCTATGCAATCTTTATGTTTCCTACCACAGAAATTGAACTCAGCATGCTAGAGACCTTCCTTTCATTCTCCTGAGTGTGATACCAGTGGGCACTTAAGCTGTACATCTGTCATATCTTTTAGCTCTTACCACAGGACCAGTCCATCTTCTTTTTCTAGCTTTCATTTTTCTTTTAAGATCCTTTATTCTTGTTCAAAATTCCTCATTTGTTACTTGTTACAGCCTGCTCACACTGACCAGAACCCTCTCCATTGCTCTTATTTTTCAGATTGTTGGAGATTATTGTGTTCCATGTTGTGCAGCCAAGTAACAATACCAGTGGGCTCCTTTTTTTTCTTGGAGAAGTATGGAAACTTGGCATTTTTCCAAACCTCCTCTCCTTCTCTCCTTTGATTGCAGGCAAAACTACTGACAGATGAGAACTATAAACAACAAAATGAAGCATACCCACTGGATGAGACCAAGTCTCCCAGCTATTGTGGGGCTGGGTCCTCAATACCATAATCTGGGCAATTGATGTTTTTCATGCCCTTGACTTTTCCTGTATATATGGGCAAACCAAAATTCTTTTAAATGATTATACATCTCTTCCAGAATGCTATGCAATATCCTGGAGCTTGACGCAATCAGTATAATGTCATCCACAAAAAGGAACATCTGGAACACTTCGCCATCAGAAGGTGGTGAACTCTTCAACTTGGAAAGAGAGAAAATGCCCAGTAACAGGATGGAACAGACTGGAGGTCTGAAGTCACAGCATGGCTTTCCCTATGGATCTATATTTGTGTTACCTTCTGCTTTGAGAGAATCTTTGGGAAAGCCTTGTTGTTAAACTGTCCAAGGTCCTCGACACAGGGAAAACCAAAGGAATGGGAAAGGAATAAGCCAAGGTCACAAAGTCAGCAAAAAATTTACAGTGAACTGACAGTACTTCTTGAGCAAATCACTCATCCCTCAGAGAATGTTGAAATCAAAGCTTGTATAATTCTGACAATTATATTAAGCAACTATCTGATATTAAAATAATGAGTAAATATTTATCTCTCTAAATATGATTTGGAAACTCCAAAAGAAATCAACACTCTCCAAGTTTATAAATCATGAAAGGATATTGAAAAGTAGGTAAAAGAATGTTAATGTTAAGAAAAAACACTAAAAATATTCAAATAAATTTCATAAAAACATTTAAAAATACGCAACTATGATTACTGTTTTTATTATAAAGGACATACATAGCATGTTTGATATAAACACTAGGAAAGGTATTCCAAATACAAAGTATTATTATTACATAATAAAACATTCGATATACTTACACATGGAAAGGATGATTCAGTATTAAATTTTGAATCATGCTTTTATATCAACAAAAATTGTTGACACGAGAACCTGAGGACAGTTAATTCATCAAAGAACAAATAATTATCATCTTTGTCCAGTATAGAGATGACATAAGATAGGTTCATTACAAAATGAAATTACTATAACCTCAGTGCTACTTTATGTCTCCACCAGTAGAATAACAAAGACAACAATTAACATTGTCTTTCCTTGTACAACTTTAATTTTATTTGTGTCTTCAGCTGCTGCCAGAAGCAATATGTTGTTCAGCCATATTCTGTAGAACTGCACCCCAGTATAAACTCCAGGAAAATGTTTTTGGCCACAGCCAAGTCCAAAACTGGTAATTCCCATTAGGAAATATCTTCTAGACTCTGGATATAGCACATTAAAGGTCCACCACTGTCACCCTATCAAAAAAAAGGCCCCCAAATGACATCAATAATTTTTCAAGTATTCTTTAAGTCATGGAAAATTTGCAATATTATACTTGATATCTATATAATTAGAGCATACATTTTAAATTTATTCCCAGTTTGAAGATACCCATAGTAATTATGCTCAATTCTCCTACTATTTACATATTTTCTATTTTCCCTCTCATTGGGCAGAATATGTAGCTGGTTGGACTTAAGCTTTATGACGCTATTTATACAGAGCTGTGTCATGCTTTTCCATTACTCGTCCTTGCTTTCTTCTTAAAATCTAAGTCAGTTGGCTTGTTTTTCCTTATGTCTTAATAATTTCATTCTTGAAAGTACTCCATCCCTAAAACTAATAGACTTCCTTATAAAATGTTAGGCCATAGGATCCCACCTATTTTTTCTCTGAGTTCTTTGACATCTGCTCTCCCAAATCTAGGGTGCGTGTCATAATGTGCCCACTTCCCCAGATTTATTCTTAAAGACAGCAAAAGATATTCTAGAGAAAAGTGATTACCAAAACCCCCAAAACTTCAAAAGAAAATTGCCTCACAGAAAAGAAAAAAAAAAGCAAGTAGAAAAAAAAGTTCCAACACAATAGATATGTACACAAAATATAAATGAACAATATATATATATATATATATATATATATATATACATACATATTTAACTCAACTTATGATTTTATTGATATGGGAGCTTCTGGTTAAGGAATCTGGAGATTTTGGAACCTTTTCTGAAACATATTAGCCTTAGAAAGTTGAGTGGGCCACTGAGAGATTAAGTGATTTGGCCATAGGTGACAAAGTCAGTATGTGCTAGCAACAAGACTTGAACCCAGGTCTTCACCCTTCTGAGGCCAACTCTCTACCCACAATGCTATGCCACATTAAGAATATGAGGAGAAGATAGCAAATGGAAAAAAACCCAATAATAATGAATTAACATCAACAATGCCCCACAAAACAAAAGTGGAACTACTGTAAAACTAATTTCATGGCTGATTATGCCAGTAAATACAATAAAAGAAGATTTAACATCAGTAAGACAACATCAGGGGTTTTTTTAGTTTTAAAAAGACAAGATGATAATGAAATTCAATAACTTATCCATGAATGATATAAAAATATATAGTTCCACTAAGAAATTCACTAGAATTGTCCTGAAGGAATACAAAATATCAGCAACAGCAGGAAAAAATCAGTAAATCTAGTTCAAAAATATGTTACTAGAATAAAACTTAATAACATCATTATTAGGGTGGTGCCTGAAGTCAGAAAGACTCATCTTCCTGAGTTCAAATGCAGCCTCAGACACTTACCAGCTATGTGACCCTGGGCAAGTCACTTAACCTTGTTTGCCTCAGCTTCCTCATCTGTAAAAATGAGCTGGAGAAGGAAATGGCAAACCACTGCAGTATCTTTGCTAAGAAAATCCCAAATGGAGTCACGAAGAGTTGGATACAACTGAAATGTCTGTCGTGTACATCATCTCTGTTGATTTTGTGGTTCCACTGGGCTCCTGGCTCTCCTCCACAGCTCTACTCAATCATGCAGCTAACCTCTCTAGGTCTCTCTGTTGAACATAGTGTCTTCTGCCGAATGAGTTGCTCTACTACAAAGCACCATCGCCGAGGGAGTGATAGGAGGATAGAGAAACCTCCTCACACTCCCTGTGGCATTCTGGAAGAGGCACAGGGGAACAAAGCAACAAGCCATTCCCTCTCAAAGACTGGGTTCTTTCTCTATAATTGATTCTTTTCTTTATTGTCAAAGATGATTCCCTTATTAGGACTTGCTCGTGATTTTTAAACCTGACAATAAGGCAAGCTTATAAGCTGCCCTATAATTTCATCACCTTGAGGAACTTCATCCCTCCCAGAGGAGTAAAGAAGTATAAGCATTTCTCTAATTTTCTTTAAACCAGCCCATGAAATCTGAAAGGGGTGTACTCTTACAGAAGTGTGAATGGGCCACTACTGTCTTCTATTTACAATCTACAAATACAACTACTCAAAGTCTGAAAGGGGTAAAACTTTAACACTTCATTGTATCTGTCCTGCCTCTCAAGCATCTGAAATTTCATCAGTTGGATTATATGGAGAGAGGAACTCAATTGATAAAGGATCTCCTGATTAACACCTACCTCACACATATCTTCATCAAATTCTATAGCCACAACAACTGAGAAGCAACTTTGCAAAATTAGCCAAGAAGAAAAACATAATATATCACACAATGGAAATCTAAATCACACAATAGTTTTCTTGCAACATGAAGGAGCGATTAAAAAAAAAAATTATATACAGTAAGTTGAGAAGAAAGGGGTTTCATTTTAAGATCAGCTTCCTGGTCAGATACTATTTTTCTTACAGGCAAAAGACAGTTACCACAAGAATTCTGGGTATACTTATAGAAATGGACTGTGGGATACTTAACAGTGGATGATAAAGTCAAGGTATCAAAAGATCTTGACAGGGCACAGCACTGAGCTGAATCTAATAGGAGGCAATTCAACCACATTCAATTTAGAGTTTCACATTGGGATACCAAATATCGACTTTGTATGAGGTGGGGGAGGCATGGTTGGACAACAGTTGTTCTGAAAATATCCAAGTGTTTTAATGGACCGCAAGCTCAAAATGAGCCATCAGTGTGATGTGGCAGCCAATAAGAGCTAATCCAATCTGGAGCTGCCTGAAGGGAAGCATAGGGAGGCAAAGCATTCACTGTACTCTGACCTTGTAAACTGGGCTGAACTGGACATGCCCAGTTCTCCTAATATGGAGGTGCCCTTGAGGGGCCTTTGGAGGGTGTCCAGATTGCCTATGCGGAGGCCTCCTTGTTTCCCACCATGTGGGTGGGGGTGGCCTCCTTCAACTGACTGCCACTGCCTTTAAAACTGGCAAGACTGCATCATTCAAACCTTTTTGGCAGTTCTTTTTTTTCCCACTAGTCTTCCTGCTGGTCTCTTTTTGGAACTCTTATCTGCTATGTTCAGAGGGAAGATCCTAGTTCACCACCCTCAGTTAGGACTCCATGAACTGACCAGATGAAAGCAGAAGGACTTGCCTTCCCTCACTCCTTCCCTTTTACCCTGGCTCAGAGAAACAGGCCTGCAGATGTTTCTGGTTTGTATTGTTTGTCCTCCTCAGTTTCAGGTACCAGCAGTGATTCTCATGAGCCACGGAGACCTTGGAACCAGGATTGCAGAGCTGGTGGTACATTCAGCATGGAAAACCTGAAAAATCAGGGTGCCTGGGAGTCAAGCCCACGGGGCATTTTGGACTCTTAACTGAGATTGTGCTTTATGCAAACCAAACTAAACTATGAACCTAATCTCCTTCCCTCCCAAGGGACTGAGGGGAAAAGGGAAAAGGAGGATTATGTCTCCTACTGGTTGGGACAAGTGTGTTTGTACATTTGTGATTATACCTTGAAGTAAATATTCCTTTGTCAAAGTTAATCTGATCGTTAGTAGCTAATGTAACTGGGTACAGGGGAGCCTTCATCCCCTACAATGGGTAATACCATTGGTAGGGTTGTAGCAAAGAGTCTAGACACCCCCAAATTCCTCAAGGCTACCAGAGAACCCTGGAGGAGGAATGAAATCTACCAACCCTGGCCTTCTCCCACAGTAGGAGCTACGATGGTCAGTGTTACATCCTTATTAGACCTCATCAGATCTACTGAGTCCAGTTCTGGGCATCACAGTTTAAGAAGGATGTTGATAAGGCTAGGAAGAATCCAGAAGAGGGGAATCAGGATAGCCAAAGACCTGGGGTCCATCTAATATGAGGATCAGTTGAAAGAAGTGGAAATATCTAGCCTGGAGAAGAGAAGGCTTAGGGGGAGATTATAGGTGTCCTCAAGTATCTGAAGTAGTATTGTAATATAGAGGAAGGCCTAAATTTGTTCTGCTTGGCCCTAGAAGGTAAAAACAAAAATAATGGGCAGACATTGCACAAGAGGCTAGATGTTATGAAAATTTTCCTAACAGTTAAAGCTATATATAAAAGTAGAAAGGGGGTGGTTCCTCTTCTTGGAGGTCTTCAGAGGCTGGACCTTTCATGTATGGGTTAGACTGGGTAGACAGTGAGACCTTCCAACTTTCAAATTCTGTGATTCTGAAAAATGTACACTAACATCAGCATGAATCTTGTTTTTCCATTCTGTTTGAAATGTGAGTCATTTCAAATGAAGAATTGCAAAGTGTAATTGAGCATATCAAAACATGCTCCAAGTCAAACAGAGAATTTAATTTAATTTAGATATTTATAAGAACTCTGAAGTTTCACCTCAGACCATGAAAAATGACAAAGATAAGCAAAGACAGAAATAGTCAAATCTGAAAAGGCTGTGGAAAGATAGACACATCACTGCTCTCTACTAGTGGAGCTATGAAGAAGTTCAAATGTTCTGGATTTCACTTTGGAATTATGAAGAAAAAGTGACTAAACTGTCCACCCATTTGACCCAGAAATTTGATTTCTGGGCACTTACCCCAAGGAAGTCAAAGACAGAAACAAAGATCCAGTATTACCAAAATATTTATAGCAGTATTCTTTGTGCCAGAAACAAAAAAGGTTGGGAAACAGCTAGAAAAATCATGGTGTATGTACAGAGTGGAATGTTATCCAAAAAAATGACAAATATGAAGAATTCTGAGTACAGTAAGGTTAAGTAATCACAGTAAGTGATTATGAAATATGTCTCTTCTTTCAGAGCAGAGAAATGGAGGATTTTTATATCAGAATATTCTGTTCATTGCCAGACACAGTCTCTGTGTCAGATGTTTTTACCCAAAATTTTTTTTGGTCACAAGGAGACATTTAATGGAGGAATCAGAACGGGAGATGACTGTTTTATAAAAACAAAAAGGTGTCAATCAATAAAATGTGCTCGTTTCAAAGAGGACAGAAGGAATTTGTTTTGGACCAGAGGACGAAGCGTCTAGGACAGAGCTCCGCTGCCATTCTCAGGATCCCTTACAACCTGATGATTCTGTTTGTGTGTCCATCCTGGCAGCTGCCTCCTTTTGAGGATCTGGTCCACTCTTTCCTTTTGCCCTAAACCCCTGGGCTGAAAATCAGTAGTGAGCTATGCCAGCTCCAGGTGGGTAAGACAGACCTTAGTAGCTACCTACAAACTGATCACTGGGGAGGCAGTGGCTGAGCTAGTTTTAATCCCTGGCAGACTTAAGGCTTATACTGGTCAACAAGCCTCTGTATCTCCTGAGGACATGTAGCAACTGCATCATTTGACCGCATTTTAAAGGAAAGCTGTTGAGCCTCACCATGCAAGTATCAACAATTCCATCTTCTTCTCCTGCACAAAACGAAGTGTATGGAACAGTTTCGTCATAGCTTTCTTTACTATTGCAGGCGTTTCGAGGAATATAATGAACTTCTGCTTCTTGCAAAATAGAAGAATAATGACCTACAACAAAACCCCACAAAACATTTGGGAAATTAGGAATTTTGGTAATTGTTCAGTCAGAATTTTGCCATTCCACAGACTCTCCAAAGAAAAAGCCCTATGTTCAATCCTACATTACATTTTTGGCAATGGTATAGATGACAGAAAGGAGCCACCAAATTCCATCGGCTAATGAATGTCTCAACCTAATAAGAAATCATGTGCATTTTCCATCCCTGTGGAACATGAGCCTCAAAGCTCAATTGCACAGAGCTATTATCATGGTGAAGACTGAGTGGAGCACTCCCAGGACTATGCTTCTGTACCAGTGAGGATAGTTCCATACAATTGGGCTTTGAGGCTTGGGTTACACCTGTTACTCTGACTAGAATGAGATAAGCAACAGAAAGGAGAGAGTGAAGCAACTCAATACTCCAGGCACCATTCAGGGACAGAGTCCTACTACTGTTCCAACTTTAAAAAATCTACAGGGAGCAGCCATGGACTACACCTTTATGTCTTCACAGACATAGATGATACTGGTAACCTTGCAAATTCAGCCTTCATGCCTAGATTAGAGGTGTTTGGCAAATACTAAGAAATTATTAAATAATATTTTAAGAGGGCCAAGTCATCTACTAAGCAGCCAGCAATAGACTCATATCATACCACATAGAATAAGCAAGACAGAAACCACTGGCTGAACCTCCTGAAAAAAATCTCATTCCCTTGCTAGAACTTAGAATTACCCATTTCTTGCTAGATATCTCTACATGTTTCCCATTAAACAGGAGTCTTTAGCTTTTTTTGGGTCCTAGACCCCTTTGGCAATTTAGGGAGACCTATGGACTTCTGTTCTGAATAATGTTAAATGGATAAAAATAGAATACATAGGATTAGAAAGAAGACAAATTAAATGAAATACAGTTACCAAATTTTTTTTTTAAAATAAGTTCACAGACCCTGCAATACTGATTCTGGGGTAGTTCTATAAGTGGAAACCACTTTAGAGAGATACCTGTTGGACGGGTGAGAGAGTGCTTACTAAGAAGTTGGTTATGAGTCCTTTCTATATTTTCTTGGGTGAATAAATCTTTTTCTATATTTAGTGTTCCTGCTAACCTGAGCTGAAGGGACCTGAGAGGTTACTGAGTCCATTGCCTCATTTGAAGATGGGAAAACTGAGTCTCAGAGAAGTCAAGGGACTTGCTAAGGGTCACAGCACCAGTAAGTGTCTGAGGTGGGATTTGAACTTGGGTCTTCCAGACTCCTAATCCAATGCTCTCTCTCTCTACCAAGCTGCCTCCCAATTTACATATAAGGAAACTGAGTCTGAGAAGTTGTGACCTGCCCAGAGCCACATAGACAGTGAATGGAAGAGTTGGGAATCAAATCCAGGCCCTCAGGCTCCCTAAAATGCTGTCTGCTGGATCATGCTCCCTTCTGGTACCCATTTACTTTGTATTTATTAATCTGAGTACCTGATGTAGTTCCCCAGTAGAATGTAAATTCCCTGAGGGCAGGAAATGTTTCATTTTTGTCCTGGTATCCCAAGCATGTTACACAATTAAAAAAAAAATTTTATTCATTTTGAACTTAAATACAAAAAAGACAAAAACAGAACATTTCCATGTACACAGTACAACATAAAAAGAGGATTCAATAATAAAATTATGAATTTCCATTCCACACTGTTTACTTTTTTTTTAAACTATGGAATAAATACTACACGTCATTTTCAAGGCTACCCTGTTTTTCTTTGCTTCCTTCTAAGTTTTCTTTTGCTCTCTGCTGCATACTTTTTTCTCCCTCCCTCCCAGCCCCAACCTAGAGAAGGCTATCATTAGAGACAAAAATGTATGTGTGTATATGTATATATATGTAAAACCATATTATATACACTTCTGTTTTGTCAGTTCTTTCTCTGGATGAGGACAGCATCTTCCTTCATAGGTCTTTTGTAGTTGATTTAAGCATTTATAATACTCAAAGCAACTTAGTCATTCAAAGTTGTTCTTAAAATGATATTGCTGTTACTGTGTATAACATTCTCTTGGTTCTGATAATTTTGCTCTTCATTATTTCATGCAAGTCTTTCCATCTTTTTCTAAAAATCAACCAGCTCATCCTTTCTTATAGCAGAGTAGTATTCCATCACAATCATATATGTTATACAATTTTTTAAAAAAATCAAACCTATTATTTCATCAGTGTGGAGAACTCCTAATGAAGGAATTGAAATTCCTTCTACTGATGCAGATCAGCCCCTGCTCCACAACCCAGAATATGAGAGAGCTGCCCAGAGCCGTAAGAGGCTGCCACCCTGCCCAGGGTCACATAACCAGGAGGTGTCAAAGGTGGGATCTGACCTCCAGTCTTCCTGACTCCAAGGCAGGTTCAATATCAGTCTTGCCCTGCTGTTGCTCACCTTACAGAGAGCAGCAACTTCATTAATGATTGGTCAATTAAATTGAATGCCTTTTCCTCTGTCCATTCCTTATTTTTTTTCTTTTGGCATTGTTTGAATAGGCTTGAATTGAAACTGTTGGAATAGTATGTAGTCTGTTTGCATCTTCATACTCTCTTCTGTATGCATGGGGACATGCTATGAAAGGGTACAAACAAGCTGCCTGGTGCTCTAGAGCCAAGACTAAAGTGTATTCTGGATGACAATCACTCCTAGATCTTACCTTTACATTACCTCCTTAAGGGCCTTTGAGGTCACATAAAGATATGTTTGTAAATCACCATCTCTGCTCAACCCCGGACTTCCTTTCCTCCACAGCAGCTGTCAATCAAATACATCTGGGCAAAGGATCATTATCTTAGTAAATGGCCAATATTTACCTTTTTGTCTCATTTGGCCCCAGCCACTTATGAAGCACCTTGTTCTTCTAGTCAAGTTTGGCAGAAAATCAAAGAATGGTAGGCAGATAGGCTGAATATAATTATTAAAATTCACTGCTCTTTTTAAACGAAAAAGTGCAATATCATTTATATATTTTTCTGGAATAAAGTATGGATGGATAATGATTGTATCAATTTGCATTTTCTTAGAAGTCTGAGGACTTTGGAAAAGATTATTGACTCCAACAACAGCTCTCCAAACTTGGGGATCTCTGCAATAAAAAAAAATGCTGTTATGACAATAGTAAAGTATATATGAAACTAAAACGTTTCATCTTTTAGTCTGCAATATTAGATTATGCAATGCATCTTTTTGTTTTAAAAATTATACTAAAAGCACAAATAAAAGGTTTAAAAAAAAGAAAATTTTCACTAGTTCATACTGTCATAAACTAAAGAGTTGGAAGGGACCTTAGATGCTATCTAGGGGCAGCTAGGTGGCACAGTGGATAGAGCACTGGCCCTGAAGTCAAGAGGACCTGAGTTCAAATCCCGCCTCAGATCATACATTTGACACTTACTAGCTGTGTGATCCTGGGCAAGTCATTTAACCCCAATTGCCTAAAAAAAAAAAAAGAAGCTATCTAGTCCAAACTCTCATTGTTTTTCCTTTCTAAAATAAAACAATATGAAATAAAATGAAATAACAAAAAAATTTTAAATTAAATTATCTACTTTCTAGATAAAATATACTCTCTGACATTAAATCCTCCCTTCTTATTAAGGAAAAACCATTCTGGAAAGATGACCAATACTGTGACCATATCTGACAGAGCAGACAACATCTCCAACATCCTCCACCTCTATGCCAAGGGGAGTGAAGAATATTCCCCTAGCTGTTCTCTGAGACAAAGCAACTCCCTCAATTTATAGAGAAGGAAATACATGTGTAGAAAGATTAAGTAACCAGCCCAAGGTCACACAATGGCAGTGGCATTACATTTTCCTCCAAACCCTCACCTTTCCCTTACTTTATTATTGTTGAAAGCACCGCCACCCTCTCAGTCAGCCATGCTTGCAACCTAGGTATCATCCTCAACTCTTCACTTTCTCTCATCTTCTCTGCCCCGTATACCACAATTTGTCGAGTCATTCCCTCAACTGGGGAGCATCTATTTTGTTTCCAGTTCCTTGCTAACACAAAAAAACACTATAAATATTTTGACATATACATATGAATGTAAAGATTGATATGATTCAGCTCCTTCAGCAGTACGTTCATTTGTTGGTCCTTAGACAAAGATCTCACATTTTGAATACCAATAGTCAGATTAAAATTTATGGACTAAAGTCTAAACAATTCTGTGATCCGCAGTACTCTCTGCACCTTTTGCTGCTTCTTGCCTTCCATTACTGCAGAAGCAGAAGGCTGTACAAAACTAAGAGCCATCTTGTATCTTATTTGTTTCTTTGTTTCATGAGTTGCTGTTGCAAAAAAAAAAAATCATCACTAAGTTAACAGTCACGAGTCTCACGCGCTCACTAGGTTGGTTTTTGGAAAATAGACTTGATCTGTTGCTAGAACTATACTCAAAGTCTTTCCAACACGGCAGAACACCCCAGAGCTTACTCTATCGGCACAGCCTTTAAGAACCCAGTATCACCGCCTTGCCATGATTGGGCATCAGAGTAGGGCTTTGTGTAGTTATACAAAAAATTTTGGAATTTATCAATACCAAATAAAGAGACCAAAATAACTACCAGCCTGTGTGCCTACTCTTGCTATATAAAATCTTTATGAGAATCATCTACACATGAATTAAAGGCATCTCTGATGAAAGGCACAAAAGCAAGCTTTCCTAAGCTATATTCAACAATGAACCACATCTTTAGCACTTTATACCTGAATGAAGAGGTAGCAAATATAATGTCTCCTAGTGTTTATCATTTGTTGGTTACGGAAAAAATATGATTCAATAAAGTTAAATAACTGCCTTATAGGCTCATTTTCAGCAAGGTGACTTCTATCGATACATCAAAATCATTCAAGATTTCTTTAAAGATATAACAGAAATAACTCAGTTCAATGACGTTCTGATTGTATCAATGAGCAAACACTTAATAAACAATTATTATGTGATTAATAAAGTGAAACAATCCCTACTCTCATGGAGCTTACAAGCTAGTGAGAAGAGACAACATATACACACTCATATATACGTATATGTGAGTATCAGATAGATATACACACATACATATATACATACACACATATATAATATACATATAAACTTTTTTTGCCTCCTTTAAATCTCAACTAAACTCTTATATTCTAAAGAAAGCCTTTCCCAACCCCTCTCAATTCTAGCGCCTTCTCTCTTTTAATCATTTCCTATACAGAGCTTGTTTGTACATATCTGCTTGCTTGCTGTCTCTCCTATTAGATTGGGAGTTCCCTGAGGGTAAGGACAATCTTGGACCTTTTTTGTACCCCCAGTGCTTAGCACATAGTGCCTGACACAAACATTAATAACTGTTTATTGACTGACTGGCCTTTGCTTGTAACATAATATTATTCTTTGCCATGAGAAATCATAGCACACTATGTAAGAGTAGGAACGTTTGGCTATATCCATGCAATTGCAAGTATAAGTTCCATGTAGGAGAAGCATAAAACAGGGATTTAAATATATGCTTGCCAAAGGTGTTCCCCAATGTAATGGAATAAATATAACAAAGAGTCTAAGTTGAGAAGGGATTCCCCTTGGGTAGAAAGGCCCTACAAATTCTCCTACTTATGGATGTTATTCTGTTAGCTGCATCAAGCCCTGGAACATTGCTGAGCATCCTGGAAGAGATACATAAGCACTCTCAAAGGAGTTGGACCTACCCATCCACATATGAAGGACCAAGTGGATAAAAAATGTCTGTCACCCAGATTTTTTTTTTTTGAAACCAGACTGACCTGCTTTATTTGAGAAGCAATGTTGACTGATCCAGGAAGTTTCCTTTAAAATGGGAATTCATATCCCTAAAGGATGACTATCCTGGAGAAATTAATTGGCGTTACCAAATTTATAGCTCCAGGTAGAATTCCTGATTCTCTTATGCAACTTTAATCTCTCTGTTGCAAACTGGTTTGTTCCTATTTGACTACAAATAAATTCAGGGTTCCCTAATTAAAAAAACAGTCTAAGGGGCAGAGCAGTACAATGGAAAGAACAAACATTTATGAAACACTTACTATGCATCACCCAGATTATAACATGCATTTTAATGCATAACCTATATAATTTGTCCATCAATATTTATCTCTGAGGCAGAACGTATAGACAGTGATCTAGCCCAGAGTTGATCAAGAAGAGGAGAACAAGCTTTATGAAAATATAAAACTCCTTTAATGATTCCAAGCTTTGGTGTTTTCCTGGTCACCTTTTTCAGTATCAATGAAGTCTGAGATTTTTTTTCCATCTTCCCCTATACCTTGCATATAAAATTAATCCCTTAATGTTCTCACAGTTGTCACCTCTAACATGGATATCCTTTATATACATTTGGTCCATCCAGTTGCTTTTCTCATTTTTATTCTCTTTAGTGCCTCGTTTCTTCCTCACCTACAAGCACACCTAGGACTTTGATTTTAGTTTCTAAGTGTGGTGATTCAAATGGCCTTGTTGGAGAAAAGTAAAGGACAATACTTTTAATACTGACATCCTACCTGTGTTGCTATATAACAAGGTATTGGGCATAGGGTATACTCAGATTTACCGTTGCTAGTAGGTTATACAGATTATGTGCAGATATTTCCTGCTTGGTTCCAGTCCATCGTATATGTGCAATGGGCACTACTTCTGTTAATACTACTAGGGAATGGTGGGAGGTGTTTGTACAAATGATGACAAAGTGTTCTCTAATTGCCTCCTGAGCTGAAGAGCTGACAGATTCAGGAGTTTGGAAATGGAAAATGACAGTCTTCTGGCTCCTGAACTATAATTTGGTGGACATACAAAAGATATGACCCACCTTTCATTTCTCTCTTTTCTTATTTGCTTGGAAATGTAAGCATTGCTTTCAGCTACATCTAGAAAGGCTGATGGGACAAGTGCTGCTAACTTGTCACTCACCTAGCTATCATGTGTCCATGAGCATATGGCTGCCTCTTTATCTTTGTGTTTTAACTTTCCTGATCTTAGGGAAATTAGTATCCTAGGATGAAGCTGTCCAGGAGGTAAACTTGTGAAGTTCAAAATGTCTCAATGCTATGGCTGCAGTAGTAATACCAGAATCCACTAGAGAGGCAGATTTGTCTCTGACAGACACGCCAAACAAGCAGAATACTAACTTTTTCTTCCACATGTCAGTTAACTGTCTGTATACAATCACAACATTGACTTGTCAGAGCTAAAATCAGAGTTAGCAAAATGCAAGTAGACAGAATAACAATAATTTTTAAAATGTGTCATACAATTGAAACAAACTTGAACTATTTAAATGAGATCATCAAAAATCTGAAATAAGCATAAGAATTAACATTGATGTGATTGTAATAATTTTGAACAATGTCAATCAATGACCACAACCAGAAGACCAAAACAGTTCAGAAAATGACTTAGTTAGCAAGCATCTGACTCGCTTACCAGATGGAAAGTGATGGCTGCCAAAGGTTACTTCATGCTAGAATAAAAACTCATATATAAAATCTTATGATGGAGGATGGTGGTACAAATATGAGTAATATTATCTCATAAAGCAGTAAGAAATAGTGGGAAGTTTAAGGAAAGCTTGGTAAGACATGAAACTAAAGAAAATCATAGACAAGGCATTTAGGGATGGAAATGAAAGGAAAACAAGAAACAGAAGAAAATAGAAAATATTTGTAAAAATTATTACAACAACCTTTTTTCTTACCAAGGGCAGTTGAAACACTCCATTTGGAACCCAACATCAAAGTCTTAGATGTGCTTCGAGGGGAGACAGAAATGGCCTTGAAATGATAAATATTTATATACATGGGAAAAGCAATTAGATGGACCAAATGCATGTAAAGGAGATCCATGTTGGAGAGTTATATAATTGTAACAACACTAAGGGACAAAATTCAGTACTCTTTCTGCTAGGTCACCTCACATCTTGTATATACACTGAGGTATAGGCAAAGAAGAGGAGGAGAAAGAAGAATTTTGAAGTGTGTATATTACCTGAGAAAAGCTACTTTGTCACATTTTGCTTGTTTCTTTGGGCTGCATTCTAAACTCTTTGAAAAACAATTTGGTTAGTGAACTCCTGTTCATAGTATTTATCCTTAAGCTTTCAAAGGAACCCCAGCTACAGAAAACAACTGGAAGAAAATGATTTCTTAGGATGTGATAGCAGTGCCCAGAAGAACCTTAAACCTCCATTGGAGTCTGGGCCCTGCTACTGAGTACAATTGTGTGAATTTGGGCAGTCAGTTAACATCTCTGAGCCTGTTTCCTTATCTGCAAAATGTGCATATTTATACAGCCTGCCTCATTTTTTTTTACTTGTGAGCTACTGAAATAGCTCCTAAAATAGGGCACAATGCTGAATACATACCTATGCTTTTCCAGGCAATGAGCAGCAGTGATGACCCACTTTTTTTTAATTAAGGACCCCCCACAAAAATGTGTAAACTGGTTAGCAAATATCATAACCTGCAAGCTAACCATCCAAGGCCATGACCCAGACTGAGCCCTGTGACCTCCTATAATTCGAGATTCTTGTATCTCATTTTTCAACGGCACTCTTCCACATTCTAAAAACAGAAGCGATAAAAAGCATTCATTATTTATCCAGGATCAACTAACTGTGATGCATATTTATTCTTATTTATTTATTTGTTCTTAATTGTCCCTCCCAACTTCTGGGTACATCACCATCAGTGTTCTTCAGAATGGGGGCCAGGTACCTGCTATAGGCTATGGCATGATGCCAAGGGATAACCGATCTGGGAGTGGGAAGATACTATAGTATACTCTATAACCAATCATGGCTCTTGCGAATGGGTTAGGAATTGTTACTCTATGCTCTGATTAAGAAGCATTCATATCTGCAGGTAACTTTTAGATTATGTTTAGATTTTAGATTTTTTATATTTACTTTTAGATTTAAATTTCCTTCCTCTAAAGGCATAGGGAGATAATTCTTTGGCTGGAGTTTTATTGCATTAATGTGATGCTGTTTTTGTTCAGTCATTTCAGTCACGTCTGACTCTTTAGCACCCTAGGGATTTTTTTGGGAAAGATACCGGAGTGGTTTGCCATTTTCCTTCTCCAGCACATTTTACAGATGAGGAAACTGAGGCGAACAGGGTTAAGTGACTTGCCCAGGGTCATACAGCTACTAAGTGTCTGAGGCTAGATTTGAACTTAGGTCTTCCTGACTCCAGGTCTGGCACTCTATCCACTGTACCACCTAACAATTATTATAAATGCATTAATGTAGTGGTCTCCAAACTTAAAACAGTAGGAAAAAAAAAAGTTGGGACAACCTCCCCCTCCCAGCTCCCTTTTATGTGTCGTCTTTTTTTCTTTAAAATGTAAGCTCCTTGGGGAGGGGCTCTCTTTTTGGCTTGAAACAGTATTTCCAGCTCTTGGCAGAATGCCTGACACGTGCTAAGCATTTAATAAATCCTTTATCTCTTGTTCTCTATCTAGCTTATTGAAAGCTTGATGTAAGCTTATATAATTTAATACATTAATCAGCAGCAGCATTGTCAGGCACTTTGCATTTGTAATCCTTAATTTATGATAAAACATATTGGAGCTGGTAGAGAAAAAAATGCCCATGAAAGGATTTTTTTTTCTTTTGAAACAGAAGAAGAAAAATAAAAAACCCTAGATGGAAGCTCTCATGTGTAGCACGTACCAGTAACTTCCCTCTCTTATGCCTCGGTTTCCTCATTTGTAAAATGTGGTACTTATGATCTAAGGACCAACATTCTCAGTGCATTATTCTTTGAATGTGATTTCTGGCTGAATGGCAGCAGCACCCTCCCAAAATTAGCACTTGGCACTCTGGACTCAACTTTTTCCCCTAGAGCCCACGGGGGAAAGGTTTAGTGCAGGGTTTCGGATGCTAATTAGGGAGGATGCTGAGGCAGCTGTGTTCCAAAAAGAGCACACGGCTTACGTTTACACGGTGCTTTCGTGATTCAACCCTACAGCCATTTTACAGAGGGAATCTGAGGCTATGTTCACGCATCGGCAAAGGCTGGATCTTAACCCAGCTTTTCCAGACTCTATTCATTAGTGTAGGTGCCTTTGCCTCCCGCAGAACTTCCCCCTTCATCTCCAGCCTCAGCGCGGATGCACGTCTCCATCCCTCCCAGCTCCCCCAAGAAGAAAAGGCCCTTACTCTTGTCGAAGAGCGACATCTGGTGGTGGTGAGAGGTAAAAGCATCCCCCGCTAACCACAAAGCAACGCCCAGGAACCTCAGCGTCATTTTCCTGCGGTTTCCGATCTTGACGTTGGACTGAGGAGCAGGCGGGGGGGGGGGGGGGGGGGGACGAGGCGGCCGCAGAGGCAGCAGTTAATCTTCGCAGAGTGCAGGCTGCGGGGTGGGTGCGCGTGGACAGCAGCAGAGAGAAAGGGGGGGGGCAGTGCCCACGTGTGGGCTGCTAAAAGACACACCCTGCCTCCTCCACCTCATGATTTGTAAAGTGCTACGTCTCATAGTCGCGCTGCTACAAGGGGTCTGTGAGCAGAGTTTCCATTGAAAACCTGTGTATTTGAAAAGACTTTGGTCCATAGGAAAGAAAAAGAATAATTAGCATTAATTATCCTGCAGCCTGCCTGATAAAGCTAGTCTGGTCCACCTGTGAAAAGATTGGGACCCAGCCCCATCTCTCATACTGACTGGGCAGAAAGAATGAGGACCTTGTTTGAGTTCAAATTATGGCTCTGTCGTTTTGCACCTGAGTGACTTTTCTATCTCAGAAGGACAGCCTAATTGCTACAGAAATCCCAAAAGACATGGAACTGTGTGGGATGTGACTCAAATTAAAAAAAAACACATTTAGAGGTTTTTCAAGGAGAAACAAAGTTAATTTTTATTTGCTATTCTTGAGAATAGGGTGTCCCTCCACCAGGATGTTCTGATGAGGGGAAACAAAGACAGAAACAAAAAAGCCAGGTTAAATAACCCTAAGGGGTAAAGTCCCCTCCCACCAACTGTCCACTGCTTGGCTCACAATCTCATCGAGAAACTCTACCATAGAAACAAATAACAACAAAAATAGGCATATCTTAGTTACGAATAACAAAGACACAATATACATATCCATATTTAGCCCCTTTGCTGAAATAATACCAAAGAAGCAATTAAAAATGTGCAGTCAAGGTAGACTGTGCTGTTGTGGCAAGGTCACCATGACAGGGGGGGGTTTCAGGGGTTTCAGACTTGGTAAACTTTTAACTGCTGAGATAACATATGGCATAGTAGTGGGGGGTACTTGGGGCTGGATTCCAGTAACTCAGGTGATTTCCAGTAAATGGAAAATTAGGCCTGTCGGGCTGCTGTGCCTGCCTTAAGTCACAATACAATTTCTATTTATTCTTCTGAGAAGTCTTCACGGGACCCCTCATCCCACTCAGTCTTATCCCAAACCTTAATTACACTGAGGAGTCTTCACTGGGACATCCCATTCAGAACTTTTTCACTTTCAACTGAAATTCTCACCCTTAGGTGAGAAACCAAACTGTCCTGGGTGAAAACCTTCCATAATTCCCTCAGTATATGGGGACATCCTAACTGGAGTCTAGACAAAATTTGTAGATGTCTTTTTCTACACAGGTGCACCATAAATTTCTCCATAATCTCCTTGGGGGTCCAGACAATTTCCCTCTGAGTCCCTACCAAACAAACTTGCCCCCTCTAGAGCCCTGCCACTCTTAGGACAATCCTAATAGAATTCTAACTAATCCTCACCAGGACAAGGAGGTTAAAGAAAACACTCAGAAAAGTAATTAAGCACTTCAGGTTGGTTACTTTGGATTTCTAAGCAAATCTTATCCTATGTATTTGCAATACAGAAGGATGTCAGATAAGCTATCTGGACTCAAGTCGTGAATACTGCAAGCATTCTAGGTCTCCCTCAAAGTAAAAAGAAAAATATAAACATTTATGATCTCTCATAATGTGTTCTAGGCAAACAGTAACTTGGCACTAGTATTTTAGGGATGTAAATACTTCTCATACTATCTGCAAAGCAAATAAGCATTAAAACAAGCAAAGGTTATTTCAGAAGAATTCGTCTGACTTTTAAAGAAACAAACTAGAAAAAATGATTATACAAAAATAGCCTAAAACAACAGAGGAAAAAAATTGTCAGCTTTTCTCTAGTGGATCCAATAGCAAAAGTCCTGGGTGGAGATTGTGTCCAGTGTGACCCCAACAAATACAAAAGGCTTAGTGTTTGTCCTTGCAGGCTGTCCTGCAGTAACAGCAAAGGATGGAGGCATCGTTCCTGGAGAGTTGGATGGCAAGTGAGAGTCTTCACCACCCTTTTCTCTCCAAGCCCTTTGTCTTTTGTGATTTAATCAGACACACCCTACCAGGTCTGACCCTCTCTGTGTGTGTACACACACACACACACACACACACACACACACACACACATTTCCAGTCTTCTTATACCTTAATACTCCAGTGATCCAGAGGCACTGGACGCTTGGCTGTTCCTCAAACAAGACACTTCATTGCTCTACTCCAGCCATTTTTTCTGACGTCCCCCATGCCTAGAATACTCTCCCTCCTCATCTCCACCTACTGGCTCCCCTGGCTTCCTTCAAGTCTCTTTCCCCTTCATTTTATCCAATAGGTGTAAAATGGTATCTCAAGGTTGTTTTAATTTGCATTTCTCTAATCAACGATGATTTAGAGCATTTTTATATGACTATAAATTGTTTTGATTTCTTCATTGGAAAACTGCCCATTCATATCCTTTGACCATTTATCAATCGGGGAATAAGTTGTATTCTTACAGATTTTATAAAATTCTTTATATATTTGAGATATGAGACCTTTATCTGAAAAAACTGTCTATAAAAGCTTTCCCCCCAGTTTTCTGCTTCCCTTCTGATGTTGGCTACATTTGTTTTATTTGTACAAAACCTTAAACCATTAAAAATGTAATCAAATGCTCTCTTATTTATTCACAAATTGTTCACCTATCCATAAATCTGATAAGTAATATGTTCCATGTTCTTCAAATTTTCTTGTAATATCTCTATATCTAGGTCATGTATCCATTTTGACCCTATCTTGGTAAATGATGTAAGATATTGGTCTATGCCAAATTTCTACCATACTGCTTTTTTTCCAACAATTTTTACCAAATAATGAATACTTATCCCAAAAATTTAAGTCTCAACTAAAATTCCATTTTCTAATCCCTCTTTTAATTAGTTCCTATTTTTGCTGCATATATAGCTAGCGTGTACATATTTATTTGCTTGTTGTCTCTCCCATTAGATTGTGAGCACTGACAGCAGGGACTGTTCAGCACTTAGCACATTACACAGCACATAATAGGAGCTTAATAAATGCTTATTCATTGCCTGGCACAACGACTAGTTTATTTTCTAGTTTAGTGGTAATATTATGACTCCCTCTACTGTTTTATAGAGTTTATATTAAAAAATTAGGAATACAATCACAATTGCTGAGAGCCCTTAGGTGGGAAAATTTCTAATATTTAAGCAGAGGCTTGGCTCTCTGCCTTAAGTATATGTTTATCTATAAATATCAATGGCTTTGATGACGTTTAGGGGTTTAGGAGTGCTGGGACCTCAAGATCTCCACAAGTGGGTGCTGCCCGAAAGAATTCAACCCAAGCCTTCTTTCAGCCAAAGACAACGTTTATTAAAGATCCACCATATTAGCCAGACTCTTAAGGAATCTGAGCATCTGTGAGCTATCGGCTAGATTGTAAAAATCTGAGCAGTGGCTAGATTATAAGAATCTGAGCACCTTAATAGAGACAAGATGGACCTTATATACAGAAAGACTGTGGGAGGGATCTAGGGGTGGCCAAGTAGTTTGGGGGGAGAATGCCAGGGACCTGGACCACATGGCCAAGGCAGAATGGAGCCTAGCTAGGATTAAGGGTGGGAAGTAGCTGGGGGCCATAAAGAGGTAATACAATGGAGAGCTAGGCTCCATTTAAGAGTAACAGAGAATTGGGAGATTGGGTTTAGCCACAATGAAAGGCCAATTGATGAGATTATGGCCTCAGGGGAACACCAGAGACCTCCTTGATCAAGTGGGAGAATTCAAGACAAAGGGACCCAAATTCTTTTTGGGGTAAGGGGCAAAGGTCTCAGCTGGGCCAGTACTCCATCACCTTCTTTATGTTAAGGCAAAATTCAGGTTACCAGAAACATTTGGATAAAGCACTCACCATGTTAAGGTCATCTGTTAATGGACAGGAGAGGAAGAGAGGAAGTTAGGGACAAAGCAGACCTTTTCACAGAACTCAACTTAGTCATTGAAAAAATAGAGAAAATTGGTGGCTTCAGGTCATGTCTTCCACTCCAAGATGCTGATAGGAACAGTGGTCTTCTTAAGTCTCTCTCTTTTCTGGCACAGCTTAGTTTTACCTTATCTTTTTCCTTTTTCTTGTTGCCCCCAGTTTCCAGTAAGTCTTAGGTGGGAGTAAGAAGGCTGACCCTATTGCTGCTGCTTCAGTGTTGAGGTCCCTACTGATGAGGATCTAGACCCCCAAAAAGGAAAAAATGCTGGACTTTCCCACATGGCCAAATCACTGGCATTCGCCTGAGGCTATAATCCTACAACTGGCCTTTCATTGTAGGTAAACCCAGTCTCTCAATTCTGTTACCCTTAAATGGAGCCTAGCCCTCCATTGTCTTACCTCCCTATGGCCCCCACCTACTTCCTACCCTTAATCCTACCTAGGCTCCAGTCAAATTAAAAAACACAGAGATATCCAAGGAGAAACAGAAAGTTAATTTATTATTTCAAATCTCAAGATTCGGGTGTCCCTCCACCAGAATGCTCTGATGAGGGGAGACAGAGTACAGGAGCAAAGGACCTAATTAAATAGCCCTAAACCAGTAAAGCCCCCCTCCCACCAACTGTCCAATATTTTGGCTCACAATCTCAACACGAAACTCTACCATAGGAACAAACAGCAACAAACAGTATGCATATCTTAGTTACAAATTATAGATATCCACATTTAGCCCTCAGTTTGTTGAAATATTACCAAAAAAGCAATTAAAGATGTGCAGTCAAGCTAGACACTGTGCTGTTGTGGCAAGGTTACCACCATAACCAGAATATAGCAACAGGTGTAACAACGTGATACAAAAAGGGGGGTTTCAAAACTTTAACTACTGAGATACGTTGTACTGTATAGCCAGGTCACCAACAAAATACAGGGGGGTGTTTCAGGAGTTTCAGACTTGGCAAACTTGAACTGCTGAGATAACAATGGCATA